CGTCAGGAGTGCGAGTCTCTCAAAATGTGCACCTTGACCTCTGGTTTTAAAAGTCACATTCCGAAGCGATGAGCACATCACAGGGCACTCCCTGTGCGTGGCTCCCAGAGACGAAGGCTGGCCTAACCCTCCTGAATTTGAACTTGTGATTCCCTAAAGTAAAGAGATTTCAAAGTCGATCCTGACACATCTAAATTGTCCTCCACAGTTTCACATGTCTCCAGGCCAAGCCGGCAAACTAGCCAGAGCACATCCCTTTACCAGGTGAAGAGCTGATGCCTGGGCCATCTTTTCAAGCCTCCACTGCTCATTTTTTCCCTCTATTTTTCCCTTCCTAGGAGAAGGTCAATGCTGAGCTGGGACCTTATGCTGTATAACAGATGATTATTCCATGCTGGACAGTATTTTCCCAGTATTTTCATAGGTTGCCAGGCCTCTTTTAGACTTTATGTCATGCAATACTCAGCTTGTTTGGAGTGGCGGAGGTGGAAACATAGTCTATTGAAAATATCACTGCTTCCTCCCTGAAAATGAAAGGAGCCTATTACCATCCTTCCTTTAGATTCCTTGTCTCAGGCAAAAATCTCATAAAGATAGGCAGGGAGGAAAGAAGGGTGTATAATACCCATGGGGTTAGCTTTTGCTCACTGAATACTGTGCTACTAGCCTCTGCCAGTGGTTACGTACAAATGGGGCTCACACTCCTAGTTGGAAGGCCACCCACCCCCTAAGCCAGTATCTACCACCATCTGGGATCATGGGCAGCTCATGACATGATGAACTACAGTTATTTGGGAGAGATTTGGGCCTTGAGGCACCAGGCGTTGTTTGACCTCTTGGGGAGGCGGTATGGCAGAGCAGCCAGCTGGTGAGCTCCAGGGTCAGAAGGAACTCATGCAAATCCCAGCTATAGTCACATCTGCCCTGCAAAGAAATCAGGCAAATTGTTTAGCTTTCAGCAGCTTTCTATTCCTTAGAGGTAAAATGGGCCCGGCACTAGTACCCGCCTCCAAAAAAAATGGCAGAAATAAATAAGAAAATACCTTCAATTAACATACATAATGCAGTGTCCAGCACGTTATATGTGTTCAAGTGATGAAATTGTTATTCTTTTGTTAAAATAATGCATTGTTTTATTTTTAGTCCTAGGTCTATCAATTTGTTCCTATGTGACCTCAAGCAATTTACTAAATCTTAGGGAGCCTCAAATTATATATAAAAGTGATGATGCAAATGATATCCTCCCAGGAGGTTATTCTGAGGATTCTATGAGATTACTGGGTAAACTGTAAAGTGTCTGCAATGTTATTATCAATATTATTATCATTGCCATTGTTACCAGCTCTCAGTGACCTTCTTAATCAAAAAGTTTGTGCACAGCTTTCCTTTGAAATGCCAGGAGCTAGGATTAGAGCCCAGAGGTAATGGGAGAATGTGAAGGACCCCTTCAAGGTGTTTTCCAGCTTCATAAAGATCCGTGGAGAGTACACAATGTGTAATCATGTATATTGCAAATTAAGCCCTTCTCAAACTGATTTCCCGATGAGTAGGTCAACCCTTTCTTCAGAGAAATAAATTTCCTCAACCAACCCTGGTGAGCTAGAGAACCAACTTTTTTTTTTTTCTTTTTAAATAATCTTACCTTCCCTGGTGTCAATAGGAAACAGTATTTACTCACTACTGTTTTCCTTTCAAAAATCTGTCTAGCTGCATACTAGAAACTGCTCGGGCTGGCTTGTTTGTCTTGGACAAGCTGTTAAAGTGAAAAGTTTTTGCTTGGCCGAATGTGGGACAGTTTCATAACCCTTCAAGAAGTGCACAGAAAGCGGGTGCCAGTTCCGATGGCTGCCTCGGCCATGCCTCCACTTGCTGCCCATTGTCAAGGGTGGTCAGCGTAATTAAATTAAGACAATGAACAAAGCAACAGATGCAACTGAGACCAAATCCCCGAGTGCTTTTGTTTGGTCCCTGTCATTGTCTGCAACAAAGAAGTCACATGTGAGAGCCTGGGAAAAGAGCCAAATGCAAACCAGGCAACATCCCAGCTGGTTGCGAACGGCCCCCACCGAACATGTGTGTGCATGGGAACCATGCTCCTCAGGGCAGGGGTGCCTTCCTCAAGTGAGCCGCTCCCCGTGGCTCTGCTGTGCTGACAGACCCAGAAGGACTAGGCCGGGCCCTTAGTCCAGGCTTTCCACCTCACACCTCAGCTTTGAGACAAAAGAAGAATGTCCCTGCGGGAAAAAGGATGCCATCTGTATGGCTGGCCAGCCTAACCTCAGCTGTCTGTGCTCCAGCCCTCATGAATTTGAAGAGTGAAGCTCAGGAGATACCTGAATTTCTTTTTCTGCAAATCTGGGATTTCATTGGACTTGAGAGGAAGACTAAAGATTAAACACCTCATGTGTCTTTCTTTTAATTTGTTAGTTCCTTCTTGACTAGTTTCCTAGTTTAGGTATTTCCCCCAGTCTTAAAAATATTTTTTTCTAAATTGGTAGAAAAAAAGGTAAAACTCAAATTAGCATATTTTCAGACCTGTTAGTTAATTTAGTCAGTATTTTGATAGAGTAGTATCCTTAGTAATAGCTATTTGGAGTTGTGATAGCCACACAGCTTATCAGTAGGGTCTGCTGAGAATTGATGAGAAATGCATCAAGGAGTTTGGGGTGACAGTGATCCTACTGTGTGGCCCCATATGTCTTTCTCCCATTTTTCTGAAGAACTCCTTTATGAAAGCAAAATAAGATGTAAGATTAGGACTGCACATTTACTGGTAATTTAACAGTAGATGTTTTATTCAGCAAGAAATACATGTTAAGTGGACTTAATAAAAGGCATATGATGTTTGGAGAAAGGTGCCAGGATTTTAAACAGATGGCATTTCAAACTATCCTCTACAAATGCCCAGTTTCTTCCCACAAGCTTTTTGTTCAGTGGCCATTGAGCTATTTTCATGAACACTTTTACACAGTGATACCATCTTCCTTCTATTCAGTCCCTACTGGATAGTGACCATCGACTTACAAAGTGCTAACTGGCTTTTATGAAGGACTTGGTGATATAATGTTCCAGGTAGAGCTGAAAAGCATGTGTAAGGAAAATCACCAAATCCCTATGAGCCTTAGCTCAGGGATTAGGAGTTGATTCTGCCCCAGCTTCTCCTCCTCTCCAGGTATCAGGTCTGAGCGGCCGTAAAGGCCCCTTATGATGATCTCGAAGCACCTAACAGTGATTGGGTGAGTGGTCATTACCTTAGCCAGAAGGAAGAGTTTGGAGATTCCAGCCACCATGGAAAGAACTCTTGATTTTGGTCTTGATGGAAACATGCTCTCAAAAAAAAAAAAAA